TTTGGCGGGTCCGGGCTGGGGATTCGAACCCGCCACCTTAGGTGTACGTGGCTGGCGCCTTAGCCGGTTGAGCTATAGGCGCCGAGCCACAGTAAACTCTTAATTAGAGTATTCAGTGACTTAAATTTTCTTCTGCCTTGACTTCAGCATGCCATCTGAAGGCTCTTAAAAAAGGGCAGCGCCTGTGGCTCAAAGGAGTAGGGCACCGGCCCCATATGCCGGAGGTGGCAAGTTCAAACCCAGCCCTAGCCAAAAACTGCAAAAAACTTACTAGAAAATGACCCAAAAGGCTGGGAGAAGAGAGTGGGTGGGTGGAGGCTGGCTTTGTCACTACTGAGGTGGTGACTATGAGGCTCTAGGGAGGGGTTAAAGAGGCTGCCTCAGCTTCCCGACTTATGAGGTGGCCCTTAGAATTAATACCTTCCACAGAGGGCTTTGAGGATAAATTCAACAATTCATATAGACAGTCCTCGACTCAGCAATGGTTCGACTTATGATTTCTGACTTCATGATGGTGTGAAAGCATACACATTCAGTACAAACTATACTCTGAATCCGAATTTTCCCAGGCTAGTGGTATGTTACATTACCGCCTTTGCAGGGCTGGGCAGCCTGCTTTGCCTTAGAGGCACTGTCCAGCTACAGGCCAATGTTCAGGGGATTAGGTGTATGAAAGGCATCTTTGTGGTATTTTCAACCTGGGATGGGTTTGTCGGGCCCAGCCCCTCATGAGCTGTGGAGCACCTTTGTGTGCATTCCTGGGAGGTGCTGTGCACTACCAGAGGTAGTTTACTTATATGTCTGGCTGTTTCTGTCACTGCTAAGTGAGTAGCTTGTTTCAGGGCGTTAGGAAGGATTCCGCCCCGATGCCCAGCCTCTCCTGTGATTCATCTGCTCTTTGGCCTCAGTGTCCTGCCTCCACGCTCCCTTCAGTGGCCAGGTTATGCTGGAGTTACTTGCAAGCCTGCTGCTGCTGCTTCCTGGTGGTTACCCTAGTCGTTAACCCTGGTCTCCAGCTCCCCTGCCTGGGGTCTGCTGCAGTTACCTGACTTACCGCAACCCCCATCCGCTGGCCCTGCTACCTCTGCACGCTCCTTTACCCCACTTAGGTCCCTGTCTGCTCATCACCCCCAGTGGGATGTCATCATGATCACCGCACCCTACTCCCTTGACAGCCCTGGGCCTCTCTCCCTCTACATTCCCTCTTGGCAGAGACCCAGCCTGGGCAAAGCCCGCCTCCACATCTCCACCCACCGCAGAGCCAGGCTGAGAAGGCTGTGCAGCCACACTGGACACAGCCCTCCTCCGAGGCTCGGCCCTGCTTTTTTCCCCTGCCTCCCCTCATGGGAATAGAGAGGCAATGAGATGAGAAGAAAAGTTTCTGTTTATGTCACAGACTAAGCCTGCTGCCCGGACCTAGGCCCATTGAGTTCTCGTTTTGGAGGACTTTCTCTGGGCCTTGCTTTCTCCTGGAGCATCAGTTCTCTTTCTTCGTTTTTGTTTAATATTTATTTTAAATTTTTCATTTTTAATTATTATGGTATGTAATAATTGTATGTCTTTATAGGGTACATGTGATGATTTTTTGTTTTCTGGTTTTCTTTTTTTTTTT